TACATGCTGATCACAATTATAGACATTACATTTTGAAGACAATATATACTCAGAGGGAGTAATTTTGAAGAACTACATTGCCGGTTAAAAGTTTAAAACCATTTGATATGTAACGTCACAAATTGAAAATTATGTGTCTTATAAATTGTATAAAATAAAATAACAAAAATTATATATCTTTATGTGTGACTAATACACACATGTCCATGTTCTTTTATCAAATACAAAAATTCTCCAATGACAGTTGTGAAATTAACATTTCACTATATAATGTTTTAATCAATTTCTTTGATATTAACACAGTACCTGGTAGTAACGCGTATATATATATTTAGTGATTCCAAACATGCATTGCGAAACGCGAATATATTATATTTAAGTAATACACATATATTCATGTTGCTTTATAATACACAAAAATTCCATAATAAAAATTGTTTACAAAAGATGGAAATTTTTCTTTTGACCGACGTATTGGTCTCAAACTGTTGATCGATAGTTATGTTATGCTGGAATCAATAAAACATATTGGTTTAAAGAAATGGATACGGATATTTGAAGACGTTGAAGTAACTCGAATTTTTGTTACAAATGAGGATTTTCTGGTACGACTATGAATATAATGTAAATTTTGAAAAAATGAGCTGATTATTTAATATAACATGGTTATTGGTGTAATATAACAATTCTGAATATTTATTTAGAGATTGAATCTTATTCAAATTTATCAATAAGTATTTACTTCATTTTAGTAATTAATTTAATTCGTGTATTTAAATATCTGATTACATTTTTAATAACACAGTTCCTAAGTATAAAATATTCATGAGTTAATGTAACAAATTATTTTGTAATTAATTAACTTAACATATTATATACTATTAGAGATTTATTTAGAAGAGTCATTTAACTACTTTATCAAGATTCATTGACAACTAATTTCTGTAGTGATACTTAGACATGAACATTTCTTCATATATTTCCCAGAGGAAAGATAGTACGTTTGAAGATGAGGAAGGTGGAACATTTAAGCATTGACTAACTTGTTAACTACAAATACTATATCGTGCGTTTTTTTAATATTAAATTACATGCATAACTTTCATTATTCGCAATAGATTTACATCGAAGTTATGATCTTGTAACTTAAAAAATAACAATAGAAGTTTTGTTCAACCTTTTTCCAATGACATTTCTATTGTTACCATATCCATTCCTTCTCAGTAACCACAGACGTCTTCCCTTTCATCAGGGATTGAAAACAGTTATGATATTGATTTCGGTTCTTGAAACAGTTATGGAGAACCGAAAGTCATAACTTTTATTACGAATATCGGTTTCGGTTCAGGTTCCTCAAAACCAATATTATATCGGTTCTATATCGATTCTACAGTTGTTATTTTTCAGTTTGTCACTTCGGTTCTGTACTTCTTTCAGAACCAAAAAATAACAGTTATAGAACCGATACAGAACCAATATAATATCGGTTACCGAGAACCGGAACCGAAACTGTCAGAGCTCAGAATCGATATACCTGATAACGGTTAAGACTATCTCGGTTCTTCATAACTGTTTTAAGAACCAAACCGATATATAACAGTTTCAAACGTTTATTTTCAGAATCTTTTCAATCCCTACGTTTCATCTCTTCATCAAGCCCTCAAGCATTTCCAAGCGACAAAATTACACCACATTCTCAGTCATTTTTCCTTGTCCCGTCACAGGTTGATCCAGCTACTGGCTCGCGATCGCGCCTTATTCATTTATCACCGCGAGCCAGCGTCACTGGTTAAGAAGATGATGCATGTCGAGGGTGACGAGGACCTCCAGAAGCCGGGAAGGCCCGTGCATACTGCGGGCCATCCTCCTCCTGCCGATTTTCTAGCATCTCTTCTTCCGTCGTTACTCCGGGGTCTTAAGGGTGATTTCTTTTCGTTCGTAGCCCCGCCAGACTAAATTTCGCGCGTTAAGCCCTGGGTGTAATCCTGCCCTTAATATTCAAAAACGTGATCGCCCTGCCAAGCGTCCTGAAGGAAGCAGCTGCCCTGAGGAGTCGAGAGCCCCGCTCGTCCGAACGAACTGGCGAACGGGGGAAGCTTTTCATATGCTAATTGGCATTCGTCATTTTCTTATGGCGACGACTTAAGTGTGCTTAAGCGTGCTAACTCCTTTCTCGAAGCGTTAGACCGAGGCCAAGCTCGTGAGACCGGTACGCGCCATCTTTGAAATTGGACGGTATCTGGATTTGCCCTGATAGAACGGAAATTTGCCCACCGCGATGAATACGAAATTCAAACGATCTTCACAGGTGCACGGATGTTTCTGTATGAATAGTTCCAGGATGGTTCTCGCGATGGAGCTATGCTAGGTAGTTATTGCATTTATTTATTATGAAAGTATAATTGTTCGAGAGCTATGAAAAATTAATTTTCTTCTATGTAGTTTTAAAATATCAATGAAAAATCGAACATGTTTATGTTTCAAGATTATGGGTATACTCGTCAGACGCACTTAACTCAGTAATATGTGATTCCTATAAAAATTATAACAATAGATTATTTTCAATTTCTTCAGACATTCATTATAGTATTCAAGCGAAATTATTTATTTTCAAGATAATTTCGAATATTCAATGCTTTTAAGATATAAATAACTGCGAAACAAATAAATCAAACACGATAGTTGTAGCGTTAAGAGTAATGTTAAAATTTGCAAATTTGATGAAGGTATGGTACTTTGATCGAAATGATTCAGATGATTGTATAGTCAATTTGGCCAAAACTATAAGTGTATTTTTTTGAAAATTATTTTCCTCTTTCCGATAAGTATAGAAATTCGAGTTATGTTTGATTAATATGTCGCATGCCGCACGATTTCATAGAGCAAAATGCATAAAATGGAAAAAATATAATATTAAATCATTTGATTGAATTGTATTATTATTATTGCGTGTTCATATAGCTGAATGAGACCGCATTAGGTAGCATTATTTATAATATAGAAATGTTTTCAAATAATCGTTGTTAATTGAGTGAACTATAGTAATTTGATTTGGTTGGGGGTCATCGGTACCCATGGCATTCAACGTGTTAAAACCAACGGTACCGACACTTTGCATATTCTAATTCCTATCGTAACCAGTCAAATAAATGGTCACAAAATAAAGGTAAACAAGTTGGATGATACATTTTTCTTAGTGGAAATAGAAACAAAAGGAAAGCTAAAAATTGAAAATTGTTTAATTAGACAATATAAGAATTGATATAAAATTAAATGAACAAAAGAAAGAAACAGAATTTTAAATCAAGTATTAAAACCGGTCATTTGACAGGTTCGCATTACGGTCAATGTGAATTAATAATAAATATTTTATGAAGGCCTTTAAGATTCATCACCTGTTATTGTATCTTCTTTTCTTAATCCATTTTTCAGTTATACCGAAAGAAAGGTGACTTTTTCTTAAAATAATGATGAATAAGGTCATTTCTAGAAAACATGATCAATAAAATTGAACTTCAAAAAGAAATCTAACTTTTACTGCGACGATCCCATGCAAAGTAAATAATTATATACTATCTGTTACAAGTAAAATATTGAAATAGTCACAATTTGAAATTTTACTACAATTATATTATTTTAACGCCATAAATGTGAGTATGAATAGATATGAGAAAGTATATGTTGAATATTTTTTAACACTTTCGGTGTAAGTCATGTTTCATTACAATGGGCGTGTACAATTTGGGTCACATCCTTTATTAGCATACATACGTATTATTTGAGCTGTCTGAAAATAAAGATAACTATCTAAGTATCTGAAGTGAAGATAACAGTCAAAAAGAAGAATAAAGGATTAAAATGCCATACAAAATAATTTGAATATAAAGATTCTGAAATCAAGTAGTTAAAAATAATTTACAATTTTCTATTTAGTTAGGTGCGTTTATCAATATGTAATTTATTTTATTAACATGTATAGTTTCAATTTCATGCGACAAACTTAACATACTTGAACAAATGGAAACAAATTTACTTCCTTCTAATATGACGAGTAATTATTTCTAATATTTTTATAATCTAACCAATTTCCAATGTTTTTAATCTAAATATTACTCGAACTTTAACACGTTACAGTAACACTTAATTTTCTCCTTTTTCTAATTTGAAAACATTAGACGAAATAAATTCCTTAAAATATGATAAATATGAGCAAAATGAAAATGTTGAAATTAAAATCATGGTATTTATAAAGTTTTAGTTTCAGATTATGAAAAAATATTCATATCAAAATAACTCCTTTTTTTGATACTACAATAACCGTACCAGTTAAAATGGCTGGTTTTCTTAATTAGCACACACAATTATTGTAATATTCAAAAATTATTTTATAAATTAATAGTTCCACTTGCATACTATAATGACTATCAACGGAAACTTAAAAATATCCATTGTTATCATTTTTCCAGCAACAACATATCAATTACATCCTCAATAGTTCCACCATTAAAGCTTAATAAGACAATGAATCACTGTTTCCTTTCAAACTCGCACTCTCATCATCAGAATTCAGCCAGCACCCTTATTAACCAGTTAACTGCGTTTGACGAGTATACACGTCATCTTAAAATTTAAAATGATACTAACTCCTTCAACGATGAATTATTTATTTTCCCACATAAACATGTAACTCTTTTTTGTTTTGCTTTGATTTTTCATTAAAATATATCCTAGGTGCATTCACCCTGTGTTTCAGGAGTACACGCTTCATTTCTGGATCTTGCTGAGCACGAAACGAGAGATTTTTTAAACTAAATTCCACAGTTAACAGGTTAATTGGCTTCTTCGTTCATTCATAGGCTTACGGATAATCGGTTACTCGGCAACTGACATACATATCGCGGATAAATATTTTTCCCGCCCGTGACCAGGTACGTACGAGCATTGCCATGGCTCATATCGTAGCACATGCGTATATTACACTCGAACTTTATCAGAGGATATCTGAGCAGCGTATCTGTAATAAGATAACGTGCGGGTTCGTCGATTAAAAGTGCCGCGCCTGTGGCCTCACGTTGGCCGTGTTGGTATCCATTACTCCGTTTTCGTGAAAAGAAAGGAAGTCTATCATTCGGGATTTTAAAACGACTCCGTGCTACTACATTACATCATTATGTGATTGTACAACCAGTTTCGTGACTGCACTAGTACAAAAAGTAGTGTACTCGCCAGTGGGTGCGAGTGAAAGAAGATACTCGAACGATCGAATTTTTTAGACAGTAAGTTAACTATGTTTCATTAACCGGTGAGGAAAACTTTAATTTCCCGCTGTTCGACCGTCATTGATTTACATTTAATTAATTAGTAATACTTCTGTTACTTTTTGAAACAGATAATAGTAATAGTAATAATAATATTGGAGTTCCAAGAGTCTACTTGGAGTAGACGTCATCAGGTGATTCATGATGACACAGACAGTCACACACGTGTAACACGCTCTATTACTGTAACTATCAATTTTATGTCAGTTCAAGTAAAAATTGTCACACTGTATTTAATATGAACTTTCCATAACGATAAAGTCGTGAAAGGAAAAATCTTCGTAATAAAGTATTTTATTACAAATGTGAATTGTGTGTAACAATTATTTTGGATCTTTTTATTTAATACATAAAATTGTACGATGTACTGATGTTAAATATTGTTATCGTCGTATTTAATCTACTAAGTAAAAACTTTTCAATTTTAGAATAGCATAATTACTAATTGAATGACACTACACAAGTATGTACACATTAACAGTTGTAAATAAACCAATAGTTTTATTTAGAAAGATACACATGCTTATTAATGTAACTGAATTTTTTTTTCTTAGTTTTTTCTTTCTTTATAGAAAATTCTAATTTCACAAATAGTTTCGAAGTTATTAACAGTTTCGTTTACCTAAACAATTTGTACGACTTGTTTACTTTATTGAATTTCACTTCAGAAAGTATAAATTTGATTTATCAACAGACATTCCACAATAATACTGTTTACAAACAAATGAGTAAACAGGAGCTTTGTTTTATGGCCTGTTTCTCACTGACAGACTATATTTACGTCCTTCATCGACAAATAATTGAAGAAATCTAAAGCACAGAAGTATTCGCTTAATATAACTGTATTAACTATGACCACTTCAAAAATATATGATAACTCCATATCGTCTAGAATTCTAAATTACAATGATAGTCATCTATCTTGTTGAGTACATATTTTTTAACCCCCTCTGTTTAAGAGATTTTGAATTAATTGTGGATAATAACGATTCAAAAACTATAGAACAATTTAACTTTAGCGAGGGACTTTGTTTCAAAGGAATGACTATACGTCTTCAAGAAGTGATGCGGTCTGAAGTAGAAGGTGGTTTGTCTGGACCAGCCAACCCAATACCAAGTGAGTCCATAGATTGCGGTTGTGCACAACTGCCATGTCCAAAATTAGCGAAATTTGCAACGCGACGACTGTTTGTTGGATTACTATCATGGGTCGGCATAGTTCAAGCGGCTGCCTATGCGTATTTCCATGTAGTTGGACCCACAATCGCTAGAAGATTTCAAATCGATCCCTACGTCATGGGTAATTATTCACTGATTTGTTGTATTAAAAGGGTTTATTTTAAATTATTAACACTAAAACTACCGAAGACCCATTCCTGATTCCTTCTTTTTGCAATTATTAAGAAGGTAACGGTGATTTTTTTTGAAAAATGATTAAATAAATTGAATTAGCAATACGTAAACTGAATTGTAAATTAATTTAAACTTCAATAGATGCACTCTTGGAGTTTCTGTAGATGAATTTTGAAAAGTTAATTTAACTACTCGGTAATTTTAGTGTTGCATTATTATTTTATTTTATTAAATAAAATTTAGTAATTTATTTCCTTAAGCACTTGCCCAACATATATATATAAACAGTTTAAAGTAATTACAATAATTCTAAAAATATAATATACGTTGAGGGAAGAGAATAAATATTTCAATGGGATTATACAATATTTTCAGTACTATTTTCTTTCT